GTGGAAGCTGTCATAATCCAGCTCCCCCAGATGAAAGTGGCCTGCAAAATCTATCTCAGTAAGGGACGAAAGCGCAATATCCACCTCTTCGGCTCTTCTCGATACATGGCCAGGATCCGGGGCTTCAGGTTCACCAGAAGTTGTTGAACAACCAACTAACTGTTTCCTTTTTTTCAAGCCCAAGGGCCTCGCACGCCTTTTTGAATACCTTGGATCCCGGTGGCAAATTCCGTACTGTTGATAACCTTATCGATTACTCAGACCACCCCCTTATCCACCATCGATTACAATTTTCCTCGGGAAACAACACCATCAACCCGGGCATGGGCCAGTTGACGTTGGCACTTGGCCAACTCACTCGCTAGAACACCATTCTCTCGGGTTAGAGAACTCAGCTGATTTTTGAGTCACTCTGCTTGGCCCTCTAGGGTGGCCACATGATCTTCCAAAGTAGCCTTCTCACAGGCCACAATGCAATTTTACTCGAATAGTACTCGACGCTCTGCCTCTAAATCATGGAGTTCCTCCCTTAAGCTGGAAAAGGCCTCTCGCAAAGTTTTTACTTGTGCTTCATTTATGCCAAAGTAGCAAACCCGGTCAGCGACAGCAACCATAAGGGAATAAGTTTGAGCAGTGATATATCGAAGGTCATCGGCCATGCGAGTTCCCGATTGGGATGCAAGCAACTTCATTGTGGTCGGTGGATGGACAAAACTACTCCACTCATAGGAGGTGATGTCTTTCGACAGTAAGGAATCTTAAGTAACCATCCAGCCTGAACATAAGCCTCGAAATCCAAGGTGTGGGACGCAGTTCTCATTTTGTCAACCATGGAAGGTTTATCCGACGGGGAAGAATCTCCTGACATGCCTAGTGCACCCCCAAGCACGAAATAAGAACCAGGATCAACTAAGAGTGAGCCAGTAAATGGAGAATGTGATGCCTTTAAGGAACTGGGCCCCACCACTATCTCTTTCTGCCTGGGTAGATAAAACTTGTTGCCAAGAACATCCCCAATATCACGAAGAAGCTTGGGCATAGACACCGTGTTGCACATCTTACGAGGACCGGGGCCTGCATCATCAGATTCAGTCTCCTCGTCCGATGACAACACCATATGCAAGCTTCATTTTTTCAGGATAGGAGTAGTACCTTTTCCTACCTGAGCCACCACAGGAATATCAGCAGAATCAGAGGCCGAAAAACGAGCTGTAAAAATGGCCCCAACAACCGGTTGGGAAGGCAAGGAAAGTCCGCTAGAACCAACATTTCTCTCTTTTACTGAGAACAATCCAATGACTTCCTTCATGCATTTTTCAGATACAGGTGGGGGAAGAGTCTCTAGAAGTTCAACCTCCCGGTGACAAAGCTTACCCCGATAGTGACGACACATGGCCATCTCTAAGGAAATCTCGGCTTAGGCACCTGCAAACACAAACACCAAGTATGAGAAATCACAAGCCAATGAAATACCTTGTTCTTTTAAAAAAACAAGGGGGGGGGGAGAAGGAGATGAGTGAATACCGCATCTCACTACGAATAACTGTGCCATCTTCCCACGTGCCCTCCGGGAAGCACTCATAGCGGCTGCAATAATGATGAAATCTTCCCAGTTCTCCCCGATGACAGTTATGTATCCCAGCTGTTTTCCAAGAGTTACGTTACCTATGAATAGCTTAGGAGTACGGTCAATAAAGTCTCGGGTTTTACGAAACCCATGCCCCACAAGGTTTTGTTTGACCCAGAGCCATTGCCTCTGCCAATTTTTCTTCGGAGTATCTTGTTCAAAGATCAACTGACAAATGCCCCACCTTTTCGCCAGATCTGTTCGAAGCCTACAATCTTATTGATGACACTTGGGGTTAATTTGTCAACGTAAAATCCGTCTTGATGCACGATCATATCAAAAAAGTCAGATGTTGGCAGGCGTAACCCCGCTTCGAATAGGGAACAGGAACCCCCATTTTCCCTTGAGGATAGTCATAAACCGATGATCCCTTCGCTGGAATCACCACACCATGCTCTGGTAACAAACCGAATCGTTCTTGCAGAAGTTGGAATTCCTCTACGGTAAGGACTCTTCCATAACGATCCATCATCAAGAACGGATGAATGATAGAAAAGAAAAATTCGCAAAATGCCTGAGTTGCTATAATGAAAGAAAGGAAAGGAGGCAAATATGAAAAGTATTGGGTAGATGGGGGATTCTAAATGCAAAACTGGTGTCACGAACTGTCTCGTGATGGATCTAACACACATCGATGACGCTGTCTAAAGTATGTCGATAATCTTTTTTTTAAAGTGCCAAAGCTCAACAAACTTGCTAGAGATAATCTTAGACATACACATGTTGTAATATAGGCTCGAACGGTGACACTACCAAGCCAACACGTACGCCTTCAATCCTAAGGGACTTGTTAATGTATCCCTTAGAAAAACGTCATAGAAGTTAAACTAACATCAAGCTTGGCTTGGTTAGAATCTGGTCATATCCAGTCTGAGGCCATGGTCGGGACTTCGCCAACGCGGAGTCACTGGTATGACAGTTAGGAGCAGAACTGTGTCTTGCCCTCTTCTCCCATAATAAGTACCCAAGAAAACTTGGGACCAATCAGAGAGTTCCACTTACCCATCCAACGACAGCCACGATCATCATAATATCGAAGATTCTCCTCTATCCAATGAGGCAACGATGTAGAAAGACATGATGGAGGATCCTTCAATACGGATCCGCCACAGCATGTCTCATGAGGGAAGGCGCAACAGAATCATTTAAGAGGCACGCACCTCTCAATCAGGTATTAAAGGACCATTCTTCCTCATGAAGAAGCGGACAAAACTCTTTTTTCCTTAGAATTACCCCTTCTTCTCTCGAAATCAATTCTAACTTGATCGTCGGAGCTTCTTCCTTGGAATCCCTCCCGGATGTCGATTAACGATCATCTTTCTCTTTTGTACTGTAATATTAGGAGAAGGAACCAGATCGACTCTCACCCTCGATCTCAATTCAACCATCTCTGGTATATCATAACAATTGTCTTCATCAAAACTATCTCCACCGTCTTCATCATAACCATATCCACTATCATCATCAACTAAACCCTCAACATTTTTCACTCCCACTTGAGCATCAAATACAACTTTAATATTAAACTCATCATCAAATTCACCCATGACTAAATAACCTTCTAATATGGTTCAGAATCATCAACTCTTACACTATGGACTCCATTATTAGGTTCATAAATTCACTCTTTTACATTTTGAAAGTTGTAATCAACATGATAACTTGACACTAGTTCTTGAGCTTCAACTTTGTCATTGTCTAAATTACCCTTGCACATTAATTTTTGAGCTTCAACTTCATCTTTATCAACCAATCCCCCATCATTATCTAAATTACCCTTATTCACTCATTCTTGAGCTTTATCTTCATGATTAAACTCAAAAGTTACATGACTTTGTTGGCTAACCTGTAATGTTATAAATGGTACAATAGTCTTGGAATAATCATGGCCTTCATATACATCTATTACATGTGACTACTCAACTATATACTTGACATGTTCATTTAAATCAAGCTTCTTACAATGTGAACATGCTTCTCTTTCACCATGTTTCATTCTATTCACTTTTGGTGACACAATGTAAGTTTCCAAATCCTCAATAACAACTTTGAAAGGAGACTTAAAATAAGTAGGTACCCTAGTGTGCCCATTTTCAATGTACAACCTTATAAGTCTATGTTTAGGGACATATGTAACCACTTTAAGTACATCTCAGTCATTCCCCTAAAGGCATTACGTCGTAGTCTAAGAAGTAATCAATGTTACTGAGATGGTAGTACAAGGTGTGCTCATTCTGGTACCCTAATTCTCGAAGGATGTCATCAACTTCATGTATTGAAAAGATATCGGTGTTAACATAATATATGTATGATACAATATCATCAATGTAATTTCTTCATGGTGGCTTGGTCAGGATACCACTATAGTGTATCATTAACATGAAATAGTTGTCAAATCCTTCTGCAAACACAAAAAAATATATGGTAAACACGATGATAGTCTTGGATAAACACCTTGTAAGAGAAAAAATCTCATTTTTTTTGTAGAAGCGTATCGTATTCGGCTTGCAAGTCCTTAAAGCTTGAATTATTTTCACGCAAAGTCCATATTGTGAGGACCATTGTAAATTCCTTATCATTAAACCCTAAAACCTTGAATTGTGTCTGGTAACCGTAAAGTAGGAATAAGAAGATGAATTGTGGTTTCTTAGGAGAGGGACGACGGGTGTTGACTTGAAAGATGATGAAATAAATTGATGCATAATCATTTCCCACATTTGATTATAGGTCACAGGTGAAATGATGCAATTACATCACCTAATTTGTTGTGATGGAGCTTAACATACCAAAACTGACGGAGTAAACGAAAAGGACTTGCTGTGAAAAGTTTTTAAACTACATAGACCTTCCTTGATGAAAAAAAGTTAGGGAATAAAGCACATGTTCTGGAAAAGCACAAAGGCCATTTTTGAAGTTTTGTTTAACTTCAATTTACGGAAATCTCTAGTAATGTCCTAATATTTCACCCTAGTTTATGAAAAAATCTCAAACTAAATTTATTTTCATAAAAGCATGGAATACCGACTAAAACTTCGGAAAAACCTTTTTTAACAGGTTTCAAATATTTAGTTGTTATCTCGTCATTTTTCGTTAATTTGGTCAAAATATTAGGACCTTTATGAATATTACCCTATTTTTAAACAATAACAAAAATATTGTGACATTTTCTAAGATTACCTTTAAAATAATGTATATTATTATAAACAAATTGCTATGAACATAACACATATTTTTATTATAAAAAAGGAACTTCAATTGTTGTTAAATTATTGGAACGAAAATATGGATTAAGCATTCCTATGTTGACCACTTTAAATTCTCTCCATTCCTTGTATGCATGGTTGTTGAATTCATGGTGAGATGCACTATGTGAATGTTCTTCTTATGTTCTTTAACCTAAATAACTTGCATACCTTACCTCATAACAACTATCAAATATCATACATTCATCAAAGAGTAAAAAGTGAACTTTAAATGAAATTTTAAATAGATAACCACACTTTGCTTTTTTTTTTTTTCCATTTGATTACCTTGTAACAACTATCGACTAACACATATCTATTGAGAGTGAAATGTGAACTTTGAATGAGACTACTCGGATTCTACATTTTAATGTTCTTAAACATATTATTTGGTGTTTAAACGATACAACCAAACTCACCCTACATCTATGCCCTTAGGCTCCTACACAACCTGTCTCGTATACTAATGTCGACTAGAGTGGTTGTTCCGACGCATGATGATCAACATCACATTGTTATGTTTTCTTAGGTCATCTTGTATACTCTCCACGCCAAGGATCGTGGAAAGCTTCCATGTCAGCCGCTTTAGGCCACCACGAACCACCAAATGCACTCCCCATTACCGGAAAGAAGCGAGAGAAGAGAAAGAAAGAAGAGAGAGAAGAGCAAGCTGGGAGAGAAAAGGACGACCATTGGTCGTTTACAATCGTGATGCCCATCACAAAACACCAATAAACACCTCCACCACGAACGGTTGGGCTGGTGTGCACGGCTGTTGTTCGTTGCCACCTCAACCACAGACCCGTTCGTGGAGAGTATACCGGTAGACCTTATGAGATAATCTTATATGTTGGTCTACAAACGGCAAGCTACACTTTCTCGATCTAGTACAAAATCTATATACAATGACGTAACCAATTTCCCAGTGGAAGCATGTTGGCTATAAAATCTTCTCTCCGAGCTTCATACTCTACTTCATGGAGCCACTATTTTCTATTGTGATAAATGTCTTTGTGGTTTACCTCTTTATTAACCTAGTTCATTATCAACATAAAAATATGTCAAAATAGACACACTTTTTATCTGAAAAATTGCTCTTAGCCGTATTCGAGTATTCCATGTCCTTTCGTCCTACTAAAACGATAATATATTCACGAAAAATCTCCTTTGACTTCAGGTCTTGAGTATCTAACTCCTTCCGCTCCAACTATAGTTTGCAATATATTGTATTTTAACATTATATTTGTATCATATTACGCTTATTTGTTGATTTAGGATCTCTTCTATTTAAGACCTGGTGATCCACGGGAAAACTGAAGAAATTTACAAAACTCTATTCAGTTTGATAATAAATAATATAAAATGAGGAGATACTTCAAAATATTGTTAAATCTGAAGAATTTAAATCTCATTTTATTTTTTTGTTTTTATTCTTTTTTTTTTTACTTATATAAATTAATGACATGTATCCATTAATTATTTTTTTAAATCTTTTTGTTTATTTTGTTATTACCATTATCTATTAAGAGGTAAAATATTAAAATGTTTTTAGTCCAATAATATCAAATTTCATCATCTTTCTTTTGTAAGATTGAAAGTTCAAATCAATGTTCTAAATAACATAAGGTATAACTTGGCGACAATGTCAGATCTCAAGTTTTTCTGAGTATTGGCGAGTTATGACATTTGTAAGGCATGACTTAATGCGATAATTTTCGAGATAATTAATATTTTTATATGTATTTTCAATTATTATTCATTTTTATACACATATATGAGTTAAGGTGACGTTTTAGCAAAGCTTGATGGCAGGTACAAGCACTGGAGCTGTGACATGGCATGACAAACTTTTAAGAATCTTAGTTCAAATAACACCTAAAACATAACACATAATAGATTTAGATATATAAATAATTTAAAAATAAATTAAAATTACCGTTAAAAAATAGAAAGATAATCAGTAGAAAAAATTTGAAGTATAATTTTCCCATCAAAACGAAGAGTCTTTTAGTGGTGTATTTTTTAATATATTTTGCATGCTTTCAAACATCAATGGTCTCTGTTATATGACAGTAATCGAAATTGAATGCAATTGTAATCATTTTGATAGCCGCCTTACAACAACCAAAGAGAGTGGTGGATGGTGGCGCGTGTGTTTCTTTCATCGACATTACAAAGCAATCCCCTTCGTACAAGTAAGCTCCCCTCTCCCATCTATTCAACATTT